AATTCTTCGAATAAAATTTTATTCGTATAAAATTTCGAATAAATTCTTCGAATAACATTTTATTCGAAATATTTACTGAAAATATTAATGTACGGAAAAAGAATCATGGATAAACAATCGAAGTCCATAACACAATATTTTGAATAGCATGATGTCCAAATATTAATAAGAGTCACTGTATGTATTTCGCCGATGGTTTTAGTGCTAGAAGTATAGACATTAGTTGGTGGAAATGCAATACAGCCAGATTCCCAGTATCGTCTTTAGCTGCAAAAAAATTTCTTGCTCTAGCTGCCACTCATACTACGAGTGAAACATTATTTTCCTTATCATAAATATAATAACACCAACTCGAGCGAAATTACTATCACAAAATGTAGAACAATTATCTTTTTTATATTTCATTTAGAATAAATATTATTACATTTAAAGAAAGAAATATATATATATATATATATGTTTATTAAATATTATGAATAATTGATTTTGATAACGCAATATAATGCATTTCATATCCCATTTGAACTTTTTCCAACTCGATCCGAAATAAACGAACTACCCGAAATCATTGGGCTACCCGCCCGAGCCCGCCCGACATTGTGCGAGCCCGATCCGAACTCGAAATTTCGGGTACCCGCACATACCCCTAACTAGGAATGATAGAGAGAGTAACCAGATGAATGACAAGACGCGTGTAGGCTTGTCTTCAAACGCAAGATGGTCATTTTGAGCATCTTTTGTAAAAGTAATTAAAACAGAAAATTCATTATATCTCATAAACGAAGACAGATAGGACATGTATTTGTATGACTTTTTTTCATTATTTGATTAGCGTACAATCAGCTCCCGAAGTGGGTCCCACAAGTTACGAAACACCCTGTGTACATCTGTTAGATCTAAATTAATTTCAGGCGTTTTTAAGCTCAAGATGCTATTTTCTCCTGTTTACATTTTATGACGAGAATTTTAAGAGTCCTACGAAAAAATTTATTAATTTCAATATAAAATGGAAATGAGAGAGAGAGAGAGATCGCTTTTTATGATGTAAGTCTTTGAATCTACTATTAAATTTACTATTAAATATATACTTGAAAGCAGGATTATTAGGACATACAGGACATTTTTATTGCATATTTTTTTGCATGCAAATATTTTTTTCTCTGTTGAAATAGCATATCTTTGGTTTCGAAAAGAATACTAATAGTTGGACAAGTATAATTCTAATAATAAATAATCTGTCGCGTTACGAACAGTTTCGATTATTTGCAAATTGCGAGATTTAGCTGAATTATAAATGGTTGATCCAGGAGTTGATTCTGGAGAAAAT